GATACATAGAGCTCCCAAAGGTAAGAAGAGCAGCCATTCAGACCCCATGGATGCAGTGTGCCCAGCACCGTGGACGTCACCTGTGCCCACTCAAAACCTCAGGCACACCAAGCCATACTTGCTCTGGCAGTTGGTCGCAGTTTCATTTATTTGTGACGGGGTGCAGTTGACAAGCTGCATGATTACTCTTGAGCTACATTTCTATCAATGTATTCTCCGTGGCCGGTGCTGCGCCTGACATCATTAAGTTGGATGCACTGAAGCTTTGTCAAGCAAAGGTGCTCAGGGCACAACCTGAGGCTCTGTCTGCCTTTTGAGGAATCTCCTGCCAGTCTCTGCCAGGCCCTGGAGCTCATCCCTGGGTATTTATGTCTCTTGACAAGATGCCATTGTAGCAGGAGTGATGAGGTTTTAAATGCCCTGCATTGCCGTCGGTTAGTTCTGTCGTTCACTAGAATACTCCCGTTCCTTCTCTCCTGCCTGCTAATGCCAAGGCTGTCACCAATATGACGTCTTCAGCAAAGGCAGGGAGGGAGCCCAGTCAGGAGCTTAAAGTACAGGAAACAGCCCCTCATCGTGCCTGATGAAGGGGATTTAGAGCAGATTTCTAATTTTTAAAAATTCCATGTTTTTGCTATTCATAATGGGAAAATGGAGAATCACGAGTTCAGTATCAAATGGGAGAAATGCCTGTGAATAAATATTTGCTGGAAAATGAAAAAGGAAACAGGGCAGTCAATGCATGGTATGTTCTTTCGTGTGTGAATGTGCATGCATAAGTGAATACTGGGGAAAGTGCACCGAGACATTAGCTGTAGACAATGAAAATGCTGGGATTTTTTAAATTTCCTGCATTGTCTAAGTTTTCTACAGTGGACACGTGTTACTCTTAAACCCAGAATAAACAGCCCGTGGTACTGTTAGAAGTCAATCTTGAGGCCCCTGAGCTGCATCCAAATGCAGAAGGTGGGCAGGAGGAGGACTCCTCCCTCTCCCTGAGCTTGGCGGTCCCCANTGTGGCCAGCCGATTAGCTTGGTTGGTTAGAGAGTGGCCTTGTAACACCAAGGTCAAGGGTTTGGTTCCCCATACCGGCCAGCTGCCAAAAACAAAAGCAATTTATTTGGGGGATGTGGTAGGAAAATCTATTTTGTTCAGCCCCTTTCCTGAAAGTGAGAGGCTTCTGCGTTCAAATGAAATGTTGTGCATCAATAAACATAAATACTTCCAATTGCTATATGTTAACACTGATGTTTTCTTTCACGCTGAAACACAAGACTCTCTTTTTGCCTTTGAAAGTTATTTAACATGGAATATGTATGTGTCCTGTACACAGGTCTATTAAATTGTTCCCAGTCCGATTGAGCTAGAAGACAATTATATAAGTAACTGCAACACGTTTTATAAGCTTGATAAAACTTGACATATCCAAACTCTAGCTCCACATACGATAAACATTAAAAACATTTGAAGATGGTCACAAAATAACTGTGCACCTGTCATCTTAGACTCAATTTACCACTGAAAGTAAGCAAGTCACGTGGGGCACATTTTAGATTCTTAACTGGCCGTGGAGCATAAGATGAGTAAAAGGCACTTGCAAATGTATTGCATAGTTTTTCTTTAAAATGCAGTAAAATATATATAACATAAAATTTATCATCGGAGCCATCTTAAAGCATGTAATTTGTTGGCATTCAGTACATTCACGGTGTTAGGTAACTGTCACTATTTCCAGAGCTTTTTCATTATCCCAAACTGAAATTCTGTCCTCATTAACCAATAATTCCTCATTGCTTTGCTCCCCCGGCCCCCGGCAACTTTCTACTTTCCGTCTCTATGAATTCACCTGTTCTAGGTGCTGCATACAAGTGGAATCCTAGTTCTTTGTGACTGCTTGTTTCTCCGTCATAACGTCCCCGAGATTCATCCCTGCTGTCGCATGTGTCAGAATTTCCTTCCTTTTTATGTGCTCACATTTTCAAATTTTCAAGAAATGTGATACTCTTCTCAATGGAATTTGATGTGTTTTAATATTGTTAATGTTTCCATTAACTTTACAACTGAGACACTACTTAGTGTCTCAAAGAAGCACTGGGAGGTTTTGATGATGAAGACACAGAATTCAAGGTGCCGAGTGGTAACAGTTTCTTATGTAAGGAAGACAAGTGGAATGAAAAGATGGAAAGCTGTCCAGCGAGATGCCCGTGCAGAGGCTCTGAAAACACACCTGCTTGAGTTTGAACACATGCTCTGGTGTCTGCCCAGCTAGTGTCCTTAGCCAGGTGGCTTTTCCTGCCTGTGCCTCCCATGCCGACTAGTGGACTGGGGACGATGACTACAGTACCTGCCCTATGAGGTCGCCATGAGGCTGAAAGGGGAAGGTCCACAGATGCTGGGCACCTTGGTCAGAGATTACCTGGGGGTAGCTAATCATTTTTTTCTTAAATTAGCAGTGGCATGACATGAGCTTGGAGCCCAGCACCAGTTGAAAAGCTGATGAGCTGGTATAGAATTGTTGTTGAGGTCTGGAAGAATTGGGCTAACCGTGCACCAGAAAAAATGAGAAAGTGCTGCTGGAAGGTCATTACTCCCTTGATTGGTGGAAGGATCCACAGTAGAAAGCTGTCATTGGAAGAGTTTAAGAAAGAAATGTGTTTGGGACAGCCAGCTGTGTCCCCCTCTGATTGCTGCCCTTTGGGACAGCTCAGCTTTGAGACTGCCTCCACCAGGGAGGGTGCATGACTTCCTCCTTGAGAAAGAAATGTGTTTGGGACAGCCAGCTGTGTCCCCCTCTGATTGCTCCCCTTTGGGACAGCTCAGCTTTGAGACTGCCTCCACCAGGGAGGGTGCATGACTTCCTCCTTCTCTCCTTGGGAGGGAGTGAGGGTGAGACCATGGTGGTGACAGTGGCTGACTCACCCCATTGCCAGAGGAACCTCTCCAATCCGACTTCTTTCCCAGGCTCGGTCAGATGATTGCAGACGTCGTTTACTTGGTGAGGCACAGAAGCTACATCCAATTCTCTGCGAGTCAGGATGGGCCCTCTAGCCAGAAGCTAAGCAGAAGTCACGAGGCACAGTAAACCACTCAGCCAGCACTGGCCGTGGCCCCGTGAGTGACCGCAGGGCCCAAGGCTGCCCACCTCCTGTTGGGCTGGTGACTCAGCTTCACATGTTGAGTTGGGCACCAGGAGACTCATGTGCAGGAACTCTTACAGAATCAGCCCTGTAATTTTCTTCTAAGTCTTATTCAGCAAAAGGAAAAATAAACATACAACCCTTATTTACAAATCTGAATTAATTCCTGCTTTCCTGTATCCAAGACTCAGGCTTTGCTTTCTTCCACGACAGACATAAGTAGAAAGTTGCAACAGATGCTCACGGCATGTATGCCCAGGCAGGTCCTAATCGTACTGAAGGGGGTCGATTTGACATTCTGAGATGCTGCAACGGCGTTTATACATAACATATCCAACGCTCATGCTAGCCCAGTGACGAGGCCTGCTGAAAAGATACGGTTTGTGTTTCGTCTCCACTTCCTGCCTTCACCTTCTATGGAAGTTTGAATCAGGGGTGAAAGGCCAGCAGCAAAGATAGCAGAAAAAGGCAGAATATGAAGCAAACTGTTAGAACAAGCACCTGTGAGCGCCATCAGCAAATTTTTATTGAGCGATTACTATGTGCAGGAAACTGCAGATACAGAAGAATTAAGGAACAAATCTTACCCTTCATGCTTATGGTCTGGCTCAGGAGCAAGGTGCCTAAGAAAGGCAAGTAACATACAGAGTGAGAGACTGATGCTAGTCAGTGATTTAGTAGAAGTTGCCGTAGGAGCTTGGAGGGCGGAGCCTTTTAAGTGTTTAAGGCCACCCAGACACTTTTTTTAGTTATAGGATTCAGAATAAATGCTACTGTAGTAATCCTGCTTCTTGGTCCTTCTTCCACCTGACATGTCATAAAAGTCTAAACATAGAAAAGGATACATAGAGCTCCCAAAGGTAAGAAGAGCAGCCATTCAGACCCCATGGATGCAGTGTGCCCAGCACCGTGGACGTCACCTGTGCCCACTCAAAACCTCAGGCACACCAAGCCATACTTGCTCTGGCAGTTGGTCGCAGTTTCATTTATTTGTGACGGGGTGCAGTTGACAAGCTGCATGATTACTCTTGAGCTACATTTCTATCAATGTATTCTCCGTGGCCGGTGCTGCGCCTGACATCATTAAGTTGGATGCACTGAAGCTTTGTCAAGCAAAGGTGCTCAGGGCACAACCTGAGGCTCTGTCTGCCTTTTGAGGAATCTCCTGCCAGTCTCTGCCAGGCCCTGGAGCTCATCCCTGGGTATTTATGTCTCTTGACAAGATGCCATTGTAGCAGGAGTGATGAGGTTTTAAATGCCCTGCATTGCCGTCGGTTAGTTCTGTCGTTCACTAGAATACTCCCGTTCCTTCTCTCCTGCCTGCTAATGCCAAGGCTGTCACCAATATGACGTCTTCAGCAAAGGCAGGGAGGGAGCCCAGTCAGGAGCTTAAAGTACAGGAAACAGCCCCTCATCGTGCCTGATGAAGGGGATTTAGAGCAGATTTCTAATTTTTAAAAATTCCATGTTTTTGCTATTCATAATGGGAAAATGGAGAATCACGAGTTCAGTATCAAATGGGAGAAATGCCTGTGAATAAATATTTGCTGGAAAATGAAAAAGGAAACAGGGCAGTCAATGCATGGTATGTTCTTTCGTGTGTGAATGTGCATGCATAAGTGAATACTGGGGAAAGTGCACCGAGACATTAGCTGTAGACAATGAAAATGCTGGGATTTTTTAAATTTCCTGCATTTTCTAAGTTTTCTACAGTGGACACGCGTTACTATTAAACCCAGAATAAACAGCCCGTGGTACTGTTAGAAGTCAATCTTGAGGCCCCTGAGCTGCATCCAAATGCAGAAGGTGGGCAGGAGGACTCCTACCTCTCCCTGAGCTTGGCGGTCCCCCTCTCTTTGCAGGAAAGGCCGAGGGGGATGGCAAGATGCACATCACCCTCTGTGACTTCATCGGTCTAAGTTTTCTACAGTGGACACGTGTTACTCTTAAACCCAGAATAAACAGCCCGTGGTACTGTTAGAAGTCAATCTTGAGGCCCCTGAGCTGCATCCAAATGCAGAAGGTGGGCAGGAGGAGGACTCCTCCCTCTCCCTGAGCTTGGCGGTCCCCATCTCTTTGCAGGAAAGGCCGAGGGGGATGGCAAGATGCACATCACCCTCTGTGACTTCATCGTGCCCTGGGACACCCTGAGCACCACCCAGAAGAAGAGCCTGAACCACAGGTACCAGATGGGCTGTGAGTGCAAGGTGAGTACGACACCCCCGTCCCCCGTGGTCTCCGGGTGCACGGCTGGGGGTTGGTCCCTGGCTTTCCAGGGCTTCTCCGTCTACCGGGTCCTGATTTAGGACTGTGCTCCGGAGGGTATGGCCTCCCCAGGAGTGAGACTATCTGGGTGGGTGCAGAGCCTTCAGCTCCCGGTTGCTGGAGAGCCCTGAGACACATCTCTGTCCAGGGGTGTTCGGAAGGTAGGGGAATTGGAGGACGAGTACCCGAATTCCGCTGTGTGCCCTGTAGCTTCTAGGAAGGGAAGCCTCCTAGGAAAAGGAATTGTGTGGGAAGAACACGGCCCTGTGAGCATTTTTCTACACACACACACACAAGTGCAAACACTCTCGTGTGCCCCGTGTGCGAGCGCCCCCTGCACCACACTTTTCCCAACATTCTAGACATTTCCATGCATGGGTCCGTGTACACACAGAGTTTGTGTGTTGAGAACAGCAGTAACACTGCTCCCTTCTCAACCAGCCCAGAGCTTGTGCCAGGCACAGGTGTAGCAGTGCGGACACTAGATGTGGCCATGGAAGGGGAGAGCTCTTCCAGGACCCCAGTCTCAGATTCTGTCATCTCCTAGCACCTGCCCCGTCCCCCGCCCCCGCCCCAACACACACACAGAGGAAGCACTGCCATATTCCAGGTGCCCGTCCATGTTACCACACGTGAGTCTGAGGCCAGGAGACTCCAGGCTGAGCGTGGCCCCTGGTGAGGCTGCGAGGATTGGCTGGTCAGAGCCATTTGTGGGGCCTCTTTCCCTTCTGACCTGGCCCGTCCCTTACTCATTCAAAACCTGAACTCCAACTCATAGTCTCCAGCTACACGTACATCAGGCAAAACTCCTCTGTGCCCAACATGAGATCCAAGCAAGTCCGTCCTTTCTCTTTACAGGGCCACGAAGGGGGTCACTCTATTGTAGCCTCGGGGTAGCTGCCAGTCACCTCGAAACTTCGAGCTGGTGCTTGGGAGCAAGATGCGGGTCTTTTTATTTGGCTCCAGGAAATTGAAGACCCTTTGTAGTTGTTGTTATACCCCAGGGAGGGCAGGGCTAGCCATTTTTGGTCATGCTCAGAGAAGGTAGACAAGATGGCCCAAAGTGGAGGAGCTCTTACAGCAGCAGGGGGTACAGCAGCAGGCCTCGGGCAGGCCGCCTGCTACTCTAGGGAGAGTATGGGACTCGGGAAAGGCTGTCCTTGAATGCCTTGGGCAGGAAGGCACAGTGCGAGGTTCTGGAGATACCCCTGAAGGGCCCCGCCCCGCCTGCCCCTCAGTCCCCACCTGCATGCGCCCCTTCCTAGATCACACGCTGCCCCATGATCCCATGCTACATCTCCGCCCCGGACGAGTGCCTCTGGATGGACTGGGTCACGGAGAAGAACATCAACGGCCACCAGGCCAAGTTCTTCGCCTGCATCAAGAGAAGCGACGGCTCCTGCGCGTGGTACCGTGGAGCGGCGCCCCCCAAGCAGGAGTTTCTCGACATTGAGGACCCGTAAGCAGGCTGACAGCACCCTGTAGCCAATCGAAAAGCCTCCAAGGGTTGAGACTGGTCCAGCTCTGACATCCCTTCCTGGAAACAGCATGAATAAAACAGTCGTCCAAGTGGGTCCAAATTAGTGTGATTCTGCACCCACCCATCCCCAACCCCCCCCCCCCTATACGAAGTTATACGAGTTCAGAATTCTCACTGCCCCAACATCTAACCCACTGGTCCTCAACTAACGCTGCACAATGGGATTTGCTGGGGAGCTTGTCAAACTCGCAGGCTGCACCCTCGACCAATTCCCGTGTTCCCTTTGCCAGCCTGGGCACTGTGTGTCTCGGTCTTCAATCCTTGGTGTGGGCAGGGGTAGGACACTCAGACTTTGCTCCCAGGTTACAAATGCTGAGCAGGCACAACTTTGGGGTCTTCCTGGCCTGGATTGGGCAGAGCCTGGAAATGTACATTTTGCAGAAACTTTCGAGGGTCATTGCAAGACTGTGTAGCAGGCCTACCAGGTCCCTTTCATTGTGAGAGGGGCATGTCCCTCGTTTTCTGCAGCTGCCATACCTTTGGCCCAAGGGTGGCAATCCCTGCCCCTTACAGGTGCCCCCCACCTTCCCTGTGCCCACCATGGACTCCCAGCACCTGTGACTCCTCACATCCTGGAGTGGCCCTGGAACCATGGCGTCTTATAGGAGCCCCAATTAATCCTGTTAATCTGCAGAATTCCAGTGGGAGCTTCCCTCCAGGGCCATGCGGATGTGGGAGTGAGAAACCACGTTCAGCCTCAGCCAAGTCATTTCAGTCCCGTTCCCTCCCCTCCCTGGAACCATGGCGTCTTATAGGAGCCCCAATTAATCCTGTTAATCTGCAGAATTCCAGTGGGAGCTTCCCTCCAGGGCCATGCAGATGTGGGAGTGAGAAACCACGTTCAGCCTCAGCCAAGTCATTTCAGTCCCGTTCCCTCCCCCCGACCCCAGCCCCACATTTCCCACGCCCTGGTGGGAATCTGCTGTCCCGAGGGCAGGTGGCTGGGGTGTTTGCTGCCCTTCAAGTTCATTTCGAAGTTCCGCCGCTGCTCCTGCTTCCTTCCATTCTGCATCAGGCCTCCAGACTGAGTTGCACAGCTTGGTGTTACCCGGGTTGTGTGCAGCCAGCAGCAGGGGCTGGCTGTGCACCCCGGTTGCACATCCCGAGAACATAAAAAGCTGGGTCCTGCTGTGCCCTGACAGGTTTAGTGTAATCTCCCTCAAAGACTGACAACCACTGTTCTGCACATGGATTTCTGCAAGTGAAGTTAGCTAAAGCGTATTAAGAAGCCCAACCTAGGAAGGGAAGAATTTTGGAGGTAGGTAAATTGGTGACACTTCTTTCTGGGCCTCCAGGACATTGTGGCCTTCTTTAAGAGACATCTCGTTTTTCTAAAGATGACTTCTCAGATAATATGTGAACCTGAGGGGCAGGTGTAGCAACCTCTGCTTATATTTCTTATATTACAAATACTACCCAGTTTAGAAACTTCATAGGGAACCTATTTGTTCCCTAAAAATGATTTTCTGATGCCAGTACAATGGGGGTTGATAGGCAGAACTTCTTCAATAACAGTAATATCTTTTTTCTTCCTACCTGTGTTGTAAAGATGAACTTGTCCCGAGGACATACGTGCACATTATGCAAACATACACATACATGCACGCGCACGCACACACACAATGAGACCGAAGTCTGGCAGCCTGCAAGTGGTCCATCTGCAAAATGCTTCCAAAGTCACCATCTTCTAAGCCTGTTCTATTCTGCAGTGACCTCAAAGCTACTGTGAGACTCCTGACCCCCGAGTGGCATGCAGCCCCCATGCCCGCCTGGGACCTGGTTAGCAGAGACCTTCATGACCTCCCTTTCTAGAGCAGACTGGGGGAATATCCAGGAATCGGCCCCTGCCCCAAGGGCGTTTTCATGCTGTATAGTGATATAAAGTTGGTAAGATGTCATAATGGACCAGTCCATGTGATTTCAGTATATGCCACCACCAGACCCCTCCGATCAATATAACACCCCACCCCCGTTTGCTTCCTGTATGGTGATACCATATGTAACATTTATTCCTGTTTCTGCTGATTTTTAAAATGTCTCGGTTTGTTTTCAACATCCGCTGTAATCATTCCTGTGCTGTGTTATTACCCTTGGTAGGTGTTAGACTTGCACTTTTAAAAAAGGTTTCTGCATCATGGAAGCGTGTGGCCCAGTGTGGAAAGTGTCATGGAAGCTAGCCTGTGACAGTGGATCCCTCAGATCTTTTCTTCTGTTCTTTGAGTACATTTGCTTTTTCCGTCTCTTAATTTTTCATTCTCTGGTTCAAGTGATTACAAAGTAAAGGATTTGTGAGTGGGTTTGTTCTAAAAGATGGCCTTTATATTCGATCCATGCACATTGGTTTCTCATCATGCTGAGCAGACAACAGCAAACAGATCAAGATGAAGTGCCCCGTGGCAGCCAAGAGACGAAGCCACTCAAAGGCCTTCACAGTGAATAATTGCAATATATATATAGTTTAAGAAGGATCTCCATTTGGCATTGTTTAATTTATGTGTTATATTCTAAGCACCGCTTTTCTTCCTCTATTCATCATGCAAGCAACTCAAAATATTTAAAGTTTACATTGTAGTTATTTTCAGATCTTTGCTTGATAAGTATTAAGAAATATCGGACTTGCTGCCGTAATTTAAAGCTTTGTTGATTTTGTTTTTGTTTGGATTTTGGGGGGAGGGGGGAGCCATGTAGAATATGAAGTCTGAGACCTTCCTGTGCTGGGAACACGTGAAAGGCGTTGATAGTCGACAAGCAGACTGCGCATGTCTCTGATGCTTTTGTATCATTCTCGAGTGATCGCTCGGGCAATGGACAATAAACAGTATTATCAAAGACAACGCTGGCTCTCTGTGTGGCTGTATCCAACCTTCAGAACTGCCGCTTTCTAGCTCAAGAATGGGGGTCTGGGGGGCACCCTTTGTCCTCAAGAGAACAGACTCCTGGGTGCTTTGAGGTGAGCGTGGGGTGCAGCAGAGACGAGGCAGAGAAAGTGAACATGGGGCAGGAGCATGCAGCAGCATCCCCTTCATTCATTCAGCACGTGCCTCCAGCTTTTATTGTGGAGTGTTTCCAGCATATACAAATGTAGTGCAATAGACCGTGCCCCCATCTCGCAGCTTCCACGTGAGCAATTCATGGCCAGTCTTTCTTCCACGTCCGCATCTTCTCCCCCAACCTCCTTGCCTGAGATTATTTGGAAGGGAAGATGAAACAATTCAGTACTTATGTCTAGAAAATAAGAACTATTTTAAAAACATTTCTTTTCTTTTTAAGATGACCGGTAAGGGGATCTTAACCCTCCTTGACTTGGTGTCGTCAGCACCACACTCTCCTAAGTGAGCAAACCAGCCATCCCTATATAGGATCCGAACCCGTGGCCTTGGTGTCATCAGCACCTTTTTAAGATGACCGGTAAGGGGATCTTAACCCTCCTTGACTTGCTGTCGTCAGCACCACGCTCTCACAAGTGAGCAAACCAGCCATCCCTATATAGGATCCGAACCCGTGGCCTTGGTGTCATCAGCACTGCACTCTCCCAAGTGAGCCATGGACCAGCCCCTTTAAAAACATTTCTTTTTTTTTTTTTTTCCTTTTTGTCTTTTTTACTGACCGGCAATGGGATCGCACCCCTTGGTGTTGCGCCCGCACCGTGCTCAGCCAGTGAGCGGGAACCGGTCTCCACATGGGATCCGAACCCTCGGCGGGAGCGCCGCCGCGCTCCCAAGCAGCACACTCTCCAGTGCGCCACCGGGCCGGCCCTAAAAACATTTCTGATATACCTCTATCACACCTTAAAAACATACTTAGAATTCACTAATGTCAAATACCTAACGAGTGTTCTGATATCCCTGGCTGACTCAAAGATGCTTTTTTGTGGCTACTGGTTGGAATCAGGATCTCCTTAAGATCCATACATTGCAGTTGGTTATGTCTCTCACGTCTCTTGTTCTGCAGGTTTCTCCTTCCTCTCCCCGCCTTACCCCCATCTCATGCTGGGAAAGACGGTCCCATCGTAACTGAAACTTCAACCAAAAGTCTCGTATTACTTTAAGTCACCATATGAAAATTCTTTAGTGGTGTATTTGAACAGTTGCTCGCCCCCTGGTCCGTGTGCGAGTTTGTTATTCCAGGGACAGCCGGAAGAATTGTGAGGAACCAAGCTTGCACCAATGTCTGCGTTGCAAGACATTAAATACCATCCATTCAATACCAATGATTGCAGAAATACTTAGATTGTTTTTTCTATATGGTGAAATATATGGGGAAACGGTTCAGTGGCATATAATAATAATACACAAACTTCCAGTGCAAATGACCTGACTTGGCATTTGTACCCACACAACCTGCAGACCACACTTGGGATCTTAGCAAACGACATGCCAGATGATTGCTACTCATGTCACTTATTTATGTATTTAGGTCACTTGTGACTTAAAGAAAAAGACTTCTCATTTTGGAAATTTTCAAACATACACAAAAATGCAGAGAATGGTATAACAAATGCCATGTGTTCATGATCTGGTTTCAACAATCCCCCAAGTTTTGTCAATCTTTGCAAACAATTTAAAATCAGTTTATAGGCTCACATATGGGGTAAGCAGATTGTTAGGGACACTACCAGACACCATTATTTCCCTCTCAGTTTTGTTCATTCTGTGAAAGAAAAGTGAAGGGGACAGCTGGGGTCAGCCCGGCTCACAGGTCACAACACCCACCAATAGAGGGAGTGCCCCACAGACACGGCAGGATGAAACTTGAAGAGACGTGGGGGTGGGGTGGGGGCACAGGACTGGTAGAATTCTTCAGAGCGGATGGAAGAACTCGAGACTGGTTACAGCATGCAGTAGGATCCCTGTCTTTTCCCTCCTAATTATTAATGGATGTTTTTACCTGACTTAACTAAAAATTCAAGGGCTGGCCAGTTGGGTTCGGATCCCCACACCTGCCAGCTGCCAGAAAAAGTAAAAGTGAAAAACCAAACCAAAACAGTGGGGTTACAGATATTTTATTAGCATCAACTTTTATTACTGGTGATTT